ACACTGCGCTGTCCTCTTATCAGCCTGGACTGTCAGAGCCTTGTGAATGCAGCAAGCGGCAGCTTAGCAGCATCTCCAGGATTAGTGGTACCTGAAGACCAAAAGCAAATCTGAGTGGGCAGTGCTAGATCTGGCATCTGGCATAGATGATGCTAGACCTGGCATCACCCTGAAACATGACTGCCTCCAGAGAGAATGAAGAGAGACAAATTTGATAGAAAACGAGGGCTCATGATACATGTTCACATTTTTGGCACTTGAGTTTGTGATTTGAGGCTCACATCCACCCAACTGTCTCTTCTTCCTACTTCCTTTGTGTTCTCAACTTTTTCTTTTTGCACCACTAAACTACAACACTTACAGGCCAGAAGCAGGACGTTTTCCTGATCTCTGTGCCCTGCAGTGCCTTGCGCACATGTCTAGATGCTCAATTCAACTTCCTGAATTGGATTAGCACACTGTGGCAGAGATGTATTCCTGCTCCTCCTGAATATCTCTGTCTTGTTTCAGAACCAGCACAGTTTGCCTCTTTCATTGATGCTGCCCCTGGAATGGGGCAGGTGACCCAAGTGTGCAAATCAGAACAAATCTTGTACCACAGCCGAGCTTCAAACCAAAGCTGACCCGTCAGCATCTCACCAAGTGCTGGTGTGGCGCTGCCAGAACTCCTCTCTCCCAGGCACTTCCGTTTGGACTTGCTACAAGATTTTGTCACCACAAGGGGAGAGCCTGAGAGCACAGCCACGCAGAAGGGCATTGGACAAGAGCTGCGGAGAGAATCTGGGCCTCTGCTGGCCCTGCTGGAACCCAGGACTAGGCAACAGCTGAAGCCACAGCAGCTCCGGACTGCCCAGTGACTTGGACCAGCACGCTTTCCCTTTCTGCTAAAGCCAATTTGGATCAGAGTTTCTGACACATGCAACTAAAACTTAGTAAATAGTACATAAATCTTACCCCCAGAAGACTTTCTGCTGTGAACCCTATCAAGCAAGCAGAATTGAACCAGTCAAATAAGCAAATTCCACAGTTGAGAGCTGCTATTGCAAACATTCTGCTGTGGGGAAAGGTCGCAGCCTTTTTTGTAGACACGAGAAGGGGGCTATTGGACTTGGGAATTCAGATACAGCCTACAGTGCCTGTGCCCCACAAAGTGGGGTCCCTAAGCCCTGTGCACTGGGGGTTCACAAGCCTGCTCAGGGTCAGGATGCCTTCGTGTTCAGCAAGACTCTAGATAATTTGTTTTAATAGTGCAGATTTTATTAAATTTCTGATAAAATCCTATTGCTTGGTCATAGTTATGTATAGTGAATTTCTCTGTTAGAACCAACAAATAATAACAATTTAGACATAAGCCTCAGTTCCTGTCCTCAGCATCAAATCCTGGCTCTTTTCCTCGGCTGTGCCATAAGAGATATAGAGAGCATGGTCTGGTCAGAATGTTGGCATCATTATATCACCGAAGTTATGAAGATACAGGTCATTACTAAAGAAGTCTTTTAAATTTTAAATCATGGTTGGCATCTGAACATTCAGATAAAAGTCTTGAGTCTCTTGAATGACAAGGCAAAGCAAATTCTCTAAAGATATTTGAGTTTCCTCCTGAGAGTGAAAGGTTGCCAAACCTCAAGCTAAGAAACTTAGCTTAAATTTTTCTTTAAAAAGTGATAAAAGCATTTCAAAATGTCCATACTAAGACAATTTTATTTCAAAAATACTGGGAAGAAAATTTTTACTTTGGAAACCTCAAAAGCTTGAAAGGAGCTTAAGCTGTAGAAATAATTTACATATTGACCATGGGCAATAAACTAGGGGCTGGGTCGCTGGGGCAAACTTGCCACCTGGGGAGAGAAACTGACCATGGATTAAGCACCCTGCACCCCATTACTCAAGGCCAGGGCTTCCCAAACTTTCCTTCATATCAACAAGCAGTAATATTTTCCTCAGTGGATGCTCAGCTATGAGAGAGGTACCTACAGGAAAAGTTTAGAAGTTTAGAAATGGTTTTCCAAATGTCCATTAATTAGATATTAACCAAATTATTAAGCCTTATAACTTACATGAAATAAAGGTTAATTCACTGAATTGATAAAACCCTAACCAAAATCAAAAGAACTAGAATGCTGCTAAGGAAATATATAGAATAGATAGATTAAATCTTAGTCAAAGTAGAAGAAACTTCATACATCTATGTAATTTTTTTAGAAGGCTTTGACATATTGCCCTTAGCTCAGAAGCTTTATTAGAACATTACTGTCTTGAACACCACTGCCCGACAACTACAGACATTGTTTCTTAAGTGGATTCTTATCTTTCTGTGGCCTTGGTTTAACTACTTCCTTTGACTCAAGGGGACAGAACTTGTCAGTTCCAGAAATCAAAACTGGTCTCTCTGGTCACATCAGCAGCCTTCATAGTTCAAACTTTAAATCAAATTGGCCATTTAAACCCCAAACATTAGTGTATTCTGTGCTTCTTTTCTCCTCCCCCTGACCCCAGGCTGCAGATGTGGGACAGCGAGTAGGGAGTGGTGAGAACTTAGCTTTCAGCATAAGGAGACCCTTGACTTAGACTCACTTTATCTTTTCTCAAACTAAAGAGGGATCCTGGCTCACAGCAGACTACACATGCCACTCTAGTCTGATCATTTGGTATAAAAAACGAACTCTTCCAAAGAAAACAGAAAATTCAGTGTGCTTAGGTTTTAAATTGCATAGGATCATGTGTTACCATGACACACTTGCAAACAAGGCAACAGGTAGAAGGACTTGTGACAGGCAGTCAGTAGAGCAGCACAGCCAGATTTCCCTCTGACCTATGAGGCACCACATCCTACTTTTTAGGTGGAATAAAAGCCTCAAATCACTCTTGATGAGCAAAGACTTGTTACTATTATTTTTTAATCTTACAGAAGATGAAGGTTAGTATTTTCTCATTTTACAGAAACTTTGTTTAAATAGAACATTAGCAAACCAAACAGCCAATTTTCCTTAATTTAAACAAGATGAACAGGATGGAAGTTATAATTTATTTTGATTATTCTAACCTCCAACATAGTAATTTGCAAACACTTCAGCAGTCAGGCACTGCACAGGTATTCCAAGAGCAGGCCCACACAAGGAAGTAAAGGGCTCCTGGGAGACCTGTCATTTCTCTGGAGTGCAGGTATACAGATCTTCTAACTTATTATTAATTAGGCATCTCCCACATCTCAATAAAAACATTCCTGAGAACAAGAATGCAGGAGAGGCATGTTCTGTAAGCAGAAGAAAACCTGAAAATCTTCTCTCCTACGGGTAGAACTTTCTGGACCCATCAGATTCTGACTCCCTGGGAGGCAGGGGGCCCTGTCTGTGTCATTCTTTCCAACTCAGCCCTGGCAGAGTTGGAAACATTTGTTGAAATGAAGTGAAAAGGATACGTTTCTGGCCAGCAGGTACATCTCCTTTCTTTGTGGTCACTCATCAGTTCATTGCACTTCCCTAACTTGTTTCAGTATGAAAGATCCACTGCAGCAAGGAGATCCACAGACGTCCTGTGCTCCCAGGGCCGGAACGGCCACCCCACCCACCTCTTCTTCTCTCAGAGACCTGTTTACTCCAAGTGGTTCCTCAAACAGCGTGGCTGGCCACAGGGAGGGCCAGGTGAGCGTGTGGAGGGCCTGGCCCACTTCAGGAGAACCACCCAGCGCGCATCTTCCCGGCCTCCTGCCCCGCGAGTCAAGCGCACAGCACACCCACACCACCCTGACACGGCTCGAGCGTCATTTATTGAAACAAATTGGAACGGAAAAGGCAGTAACTAATAAGTGGCTTTTCAAGCATTAGATAATTACAAATAACATAAAATGAATTGCAATAGTTAAAATTAAACGTTAGAGCTTTTCTGTGAACGGAAACGACCGCGGTCGAGTCCAGAGAGCTGGTTAATCTTTGACAGCCTGCGGGATGACGACAGCAAATCTCAAAGACACCCTCATTTCTCGCCCTCCTTCGCCAGCCATTTACCCTCTCCAGCAAAACTTTTTCAAAGGGGAAGGGGGTGGAGGTGACCCCGATTCTGGGTGAGGCTCAGTGGCGTTGGCACCTATACTCACTTGTGAGCCCGGAGCCTGGTCCTCTCCGGCGCCCCTCGAGCTGCGGACACCTACCCAGGAACAGGAAGGGCACTCTCCGCTTGGCCCCGCCTCCCAGGGCAGGGACGGGCCCCAACGAGGCGCACACCTGAGACAGGTAAGGGAGCAGGTAAACAGCCCGCTTTTGTCCAGTACAAAGTACCTACTTTATACATATTCTCTGGACAAAAACCACACAGCACTCGGGGTGGCAACTAGGGAAGGTCTGCTCTCGACCTTGTCAGTCCCAGGGTGGCTTCTAAAGCATCTCGTCTTAGAATTGGGACAACCTAGGCCGACGGCCCCTGTCCCAGACGGACGGTTGTGGGCGGCAGGGCGAGGCGGGGGTCTCGGGGTCCAGGGAGGTCCCCCTTGGTCCCGTGCGGCCTCTGCTCACCCCCGATCGCGGGCCTCGCGTTTGAGCCGCGCGGCCCAGGTCTGGGGGCACGTGCATCTGAACCCCAGGAGGGAGAGGCCTAACCCTCGGTGCAGGACCGGCCCCTCGGGTGTCGGTCATAGTCCCCCGCACCCCCACCACGCGCTCCGGGAGCCCTCCCCCGCCCTCAGGTGTGACCTGAGTCCAGCCCCCCCCACCGGGAGCCTCCCCTTTCCAGGTGGCTCACGGCCCCGCCCCCACTCCGCCCCTCTCCTCGAAGCCCCTCCCCCTCCCGAGGCCCCTCCTCCGCCTCCTGACCCTTTGTCCCACCCCCACACCACCCCCTCCCCCGTGGCGCCCCTTCCGTCCTCTGGAGGACTGTGGCCCCCCTCCGCCTCAGTACTGCGCAGGCGCAAGGACCGGCGCCCGCCGCGAGGCTGGGCTAAGGCCGTACTGCGCAGGCGCGCGGGGCGGGACCCTTGAGGTGCGCATGTGTCGCGCAGGAAGCGTTGCGTCGCGCAGGAAACGTGCCGACGCGCTCAGTGGGCGCGTAGGTGTGCGCGCGGGAAGATGGCTGAGCAGGTGCCGAAGTCTGTGCTCTTCGTGTGTCTGGGTGAGACAGCGCTGATCTAGCCCCACTCTGGCTTTCCCGAACGGTCGGGGTGGGTCTCGTGCGTTTTGGGCTGCGCCGTTGGGCCAGGAACGGTGATCGGGAAGAGGCCGGGGTCAGGGAAACCGGAGGGTGGAACGGAGCGCCCCGGGCTCTTCCTCCGCGCCGCGCACTTGCTGGCCTGTTCTCCAAGCTGGCTTCCCTCACCAGCCCAGCCCACTCTCCAAGCGAGGTTCTCTCTTACCTGCCCGTTCTGCAAGCGGGGTCTGCTCTTACCCTGCGCGGTCCGATCCAAGCCGGGCACCGTCTCACCGCGTTTCCTATCCAAGCCGGCTTACCTGTCACCTCAGTCCGCTCACCTAGCGGTCCTCCCCTGCAGCGCCGACACTGCAAACCAGGGTCCTTTGCATTGCACACGCCTAGCATCCCTGTTTCTCCTTCATCGAATAGACCCAACGCTGCTGGACTGATATACTCTCTTGGGGCCTCCTGATGCCCCCAGACCCATTACAACCCTGGTTTGCTGGCTCTTTTCTTTGCCCCTGCTTACAAACGGATGTAAGCTAAAGACAGATGGAGTGCAAGGGTTCTGCATTTCTTGGCTATAAAAGCCGAACCAGGGAGACCGGATTCTCCAGGTGTCTCTGTAACCAGACTCATGTGCCAGTGTTCCAAATTAGAATTCACTTTCCCTCTAGTTGTCGGGATTCTTCTTTTGGAATAGCACCACAGGGTTGTATTTCTCAGTGTTTGCACCCTGTCTCCTTAACCTCCAAGAGAGGAAGGCCTAAATCATCAATAGTCCAGTTACTTAAAATCTTCTGATGAGTCTGCATTTCCTATGGACTAAAGATTCCCCTCCTTTCTATGCTGCCCCCTTCAAGAAGAGGATGGAAGTCTGCCCATCTGTTTCCGCTTCATCTCCATTACCTTTTCCTGCCCATGCCCTGTGATTTGCTGTCTCCCAGCAGTTCAGGTGCTTAATGCACCTTTGTGTGGTTGTTTCTGGGCACCTATATTGCATTTTCCCTGGAAAGACGTTCTGTAAGATTAGATCCACATATTCTCTTTGCTTTTCCCAGATCCTCTAAGTGGAGGTCGTTTACTTATAACCTTTTGTAGACACCTTTCATTATATGAACTTTATTATAATTACTTGATAGCCTCGGGATCACATCTAGATTTAACCCTCTTGAGGGCAGTAACTGTGGCTTATTTTTCTCTCTTTCCAGCTTTAAGACAATATGTGACAATAACTAGGTATTTGCAGAATTGAATTTCTGTGGGGAAAAGTAAAAGGGCCACCTTGTTTCAGTTTGGTAGTGGGCATCATTTGGTGTTTAAGCTCTCCATGAAGGCTGACTCATGGAATCAACAAATTAAGGTTAAAGGGCGGTTCAGTTCGTGTTGGGCGTCTAACAGGATTCCATTGCCTTGTTTATTTTACTTGGTGGTGTCGATTATGCTGACATAATGCATCATGGTGGTTATTAACAGGGGATGTATACCTGTGTCCGTTTATCTTCCGTACGATTTTTTTTTTTTTTTTAAGCAACTGCTATATTACCAGGCACTCTTCTGAGTGCTAGGGATATGATAGTGAGAAACAGACTAAGGTTCCTGCCTCTGCGGAGCTTAACGTTCTGTCACCAACAACCAAGTGCTTGGTTACTTAATAAGTTGGTGATGTGTTAAGAACTGTAGAGCAGGGAAGGGGGTGAGAGTGGAATACATTTTAAGTAGAGCAGTCAGGGATGGCCTTATCTATAAGGTGGCATTTGGGCAAAGACTTGAGAGTTGAGAAAGCAAGCCTGGGTCTTCCGGGGCTCAGAATAAAGTAGGTGAACAGTTTTGAAATGAGAGTGCTGGTCCTGTTCATATTGGCAGGGAAACCACTGTGGCCTGGCCTAGAGACCCAGTAGCCTTTTTCAACCAGACCTTCATCTGTACCTGAACTCGAAAGTAATTTTAGTGAGTCTTTTCTCAATGCCACCATAAATACATAACTAGAACTATTCTGGATGGGTAGGAAAGCTATTTCCTTACATAAAAATAAGCACTCTGGGGCAGGAGTCTGTGAACTCCTTATATAAAGAACCAGAAAGTAAGTATTTGGTGCTTTGCAAAAGCAGACCTAGACAATACATAAACAATAATGCTTGACTGTATCCCAGTATAACTTTATTTACGGACACTGCAGTCTGAATTCCATGTGATTTTTCTTATGTCACAAGATGTTACTCTATTTTTGAGTTTTTTCAGCTGTTTATAAAGGTAAAAATTATTTTTGGTTTTGTCGGCTGTACACAAAGGTGGTGAGCCAATGGATCATAGTTTTCAGATGCTGGTTTAGGGTCTACGGAGGACATGTTTGGTGAGGCCATGTGAGGGCTTGGGCTTACTCTGAAGGAGATAAGCCACTGGAGGATGAAGCCATTGAGCAGAGGTGGGGCATTTATAAAGAAGTGTTCAGCTGCTGTGTTGAGATTAGCCTGGGCAAGGGCGAGGCCCCAGGGGTGAGGCCAGGGGTGCAGAGGGGCATGTGCTGGATCACAGAGAGTATCACTGCGGGGGGGGGGGTTGCTGAGTGGTCAGATTGTGGGCAGGTTTGAGGAGTCTATGAATGCCTTTTCGCATGATAGCCTGTGTATACATAGAGCAGTAAGAACGGTATATTTTTGAAATGTAAAAAAATTCCTTCAAAGCATTTATTTGGGCTCTTTTCAGACTGAAGTGTAGAGAGGAGTGTCAGATGTTTTCTGTTGGTAAGGCTAATGGCAGGAAGGAACTGCACTCCTTATTTTGGCAAGATTATTGAAAGTATTCCATGTTTTTGGAGATAGACTGAATGGTTGAAGGCCCCTGTGCTTGTGCTGCAGCCAGGGTGGTGGAAATAACTATCAGTGGTGTCAGGTTACCTCTTCCCTACAGTTAACTGATACTTCTTGTTACTTCCTATGTGCTGCCCGTTGTGGGGGGTGCAGCCCAAGGTAAGAGACACAGTCCCTACCCTTGGAGAATTTCATTTTTTCCTTTTGTGAGTCTCAGTCCTTGAAGTACAGATATTGAGTAAGAGGACGTATCATGCTGCCTAATTTGGAAAAAACAAACTGAGACCTCACAGATTGAGCTTTTTCCTAAAGAAATCTGAAGATGACATTTTAAGTTTTTAGAATTTTTCCAAAGGTGGAACCTGAAGTACTGAAGATTCTAATGTGAGTAAAGAGTGACCCGTGCCTTAACTCAGCTCCCGTCTGTTCCTCGTGTTTTTTGTGTTGCCCTCTGTAGCCTGAGTCTCCACCTTTAATTCCAGGCTCTCCAGCCCTGCAGTTTTCCTAACTTGTGGGAAGGGTCTTTCTCTTCAGGCCCTTTTATAGTGCTGGGCTCCTGTGTCATAGACGTGCAGAATATGTTTGTTGAACATTCTCTTCCCACTGGACCCACGAAGTCCACATCCTGGACACAGTTAAGGTTCCTGTAACCCAGCCCCACCAGTGCACATTCATTGCTCCTTATTCATACAACCCCCTAATTTAAATGCCCATTAAAGTCCTCTTCCTAAGAGATCATTTCCAATCTTCCTTTTTTTCTGATAAGGAATTTTCTTATTATCTTATTTATGGTTTTAGCATAATTCCGTAGGATAATGGGCATGTTTTGTTATTCCAGGAGGTCCTTACATAGTTCATGCATGGTGGGTGAGTCAGGGTAGGGTATGTGAGCCACACATTGGGGATGGGGGAGCTGGATGGTTAGTTCAGCTACAGGCCCATTATTCCATCACTCATGCCTACTTAATGAAACTCAGTGAACCCTTGGCATTGGCACTGTGGAGAGCATCCTGAATTGGTAATACTCTGAGTATTGTTCCAGATGGATGACGAGAGAGGGTGACACGTGTCAGAGGGCCAGAAAGCTTCAGGTTCGAAACTCTTCCGGATCTGCCTGTGCTTTCTAACTTTGGCTCTTTCTGCTTTGAATCTTTTTGTTATGATAAAACTATAATCCTAAGTCTAGCATTTTCCTGAGTTTTATGTGTTCGTCTACAGAATTATTGAATGTGTGGGGACTCCTCGATCTGTAGCCAGCCGCTCTGAATTAAGGGTGGCCCTGGGGAATCCCTGAACTTGCAGCCGATGTTGGAAGTTCTGGGCAGACTTGGTGACCTGGAGGGCAGCACCCTTAATTCAGCCGGCTGACTCCCAACAGACTGCACCCTGAAAGTTTGTGTTGAACTACTGTTAGGCCGAAATTTGTTTGTGTATTTTCTGAAACAGTATTCATCCTTATGTGCAATATACTTGAAAATACATATTTTTAACCCTGTTGTATTTCATTTTAAAAATAAACTCATTGCAACCCACTTCGTTGATTTTATGAGTTACTTCTGGGTCATTTATAACAGCCTGAAAAACAGTGATTTCAGTTGTAATTGGTTTTCTTACATCTTGGTTATTTGTACTTTGAGTACTTGGACCGCTGGTGTCAAATCGTTGAGCTTGGGTTTGGTCAGCTGTCTCCAGAGGTCCTACTGTGCATGCATTGGTGGGGTGCTGACCTTGCTTTCCTTAGGGGGGTGCTGTTGCTGTGTGTCAGGTGGGTGAAGTGGTCTGGAGTTCAGCGTTTGCCCTAGCATCGAACCTGACGCCCACTCTCTGCCTTCCCCTCTTTTTAAGGTAACATCTGTCGGTCACCCATTGCAGAAGCGGTTTTCAGAAAACTTGTAACTGATCAAAAGCTTTCAGATCACGTAAGTACCATTCTCTATCTTAAAGAGGCCAACCTGGCTGCCTTTGTGGCAGGAAATTGCGAAAACATTCTTTCTTTCTCCTGCAGTGGAGGGTAGACAGTGCAGCGACATCCACGTATGAAATAGGAAACCCTCCTGATCATCGAGGGCAGAATTGCATGAAGAGGCATGGTACCCCCATGAATCACACTGCCCGGCAGGTACTGTGCGGGAGCTCGAAGGTGCACATGTGTGTTCTGTGTTGCAGTGGGTCATTGACAGCGGCGCTGTTTCTGACTGGAATGCGGGCCGGTCACCAGATCCAAGAGCTCTGAGCTGCCTCAGAAACCATGGCATTAACACAGCCCACAGAGCAAGACAGGTACAAGAGACCTCACTTACCTCTAACCCTGCAGCCCCACTTGGAACTGTGAGTTCAAAGCAGCGCACTAGCTAACGAGAGTTTACTCCGCTCTGCTTGCGTAGCCACAGGGTACCCGTTTCTTTCACTGCTGGGTCCACAGTTCTGAAAGGTGGGAATGATCTTGGAATTTACTTATTAAAATGCATTTATTTTTATTTTATTTATTTATTTATTAGACAAAAATACAAGAGAACAAATCTGTACCCTTATTTATTTACTTTTCATTAAGTTTAAATCCTTGAGGGGTACAGCATCACACAGATTCTGTGGCCAATGGCTTTAGCAGGAAGGTTGCTTCAGAATTTGGCACGAACCATGCCACTGTCTCATGAGCTCGAGTTACTTTTCCCCAGATTACTCAGGTTTTGTTTGATTTGCCACCAGGAGTCACTGTGTCGTTCTTTGCTTGGCACACACAGGTACATCTCCTGCCTAGATAGAATTCAGTTTCATCTCAACCTTCAATTTTAAGAACTGTGTGCTCCCTCTGGTTCTGGAGACTCCACTTATAGCCAGCAAAAATGGCCTTGGACCACAGCCTTCCAGACATATTTGGTGCTTTAGGAGTCCTGTTCCTGGCAGGCCTCCATAGGCTCCAAGATGGCGGAAAGAGAAAGGCTAAAATGCATTTATAATCACTAAGTGATACTGGTGAGAGCCCTGCCTAAGACCTGGAGACCTGAGTTATAATCTCCTTTTTCATTTCTGTCTGTGTGATTGAAACATTTATGCCCTGGTAACTAGTCTGCTTACGTTACAAGTTTATTGCTAGAATAAAGTTCTATAATATCTACAAAAATGTATTTTCAACAGTGAAGTGTCTTAGAAATATAGGATAGTACTGGTAATATTATGGATGCATATCCTGCATCCCAGCAGTTGGACTTCTGGGTTTAGGTTCTGGGGTGCTGCACTGTAGAACATTCTGGGATAAGGCAGGTAACGCTGTATCTGCCTCATTCAGTGTGGAATAGCCACTAACTGCTATTGTACATTTGAAATACGGCCAATGTGATGGAGGAACTGAAGATTATTTTTTAACTTACTTAAGTAGCTGCCTGGAACTAGTAAGCACCTCAGTGGGCTGCACGGTTCCAAGATTCATGCACAGCCACTGGGGAGAGCGTGAGGGTTGTACCACCACAGCCTCAGTGAGACATCAGAGCTCAAGGGCAGGCATGTTCCATCGCTCGGAGGATGCCGCAGGTGTGTGCTCTTTTGGCACCTTCCATAACCACAGGGGCTAGGTGCTAAAGAAATGTGCTTCATTTCTGATACAAAATGCTTCATATATTGTTATGCAAGGAAAGTGACTTTTATCACTATCATTATTTTATGGAGACTCAATTAGATGTTTAAAAATTCTGGCTGGGGTGCCTGGGTGACTCAGTCATTTAAGCGTCCGACTCTTGATTTTGGCTCAGGTCATGATCTTAAGGCCATGAGATTGAGCCCCACATCAGGCTCCCCACTCAGCAGGAGTGTGCTTCTCTCCATCATTCTCTCCCTCTGCCCCTTCTCTCATTCACTCTCTCTCTAAAAGAAATAAATCTTTAAAAAAAAAAAAAAAAAAACTTGGTTAAATCTTCTAACTTCTTTTGTATCCAACCTAACAAAATACGCAGGCTCTGTAGGCCAAACAAGGCTGTGGATTGGCATCAGAAACAATAGGCTATGTCCAGTGATGAGCTCTTGAGGCCTTTAGAATGAGAAGCTGCCAAATGTTTTGAAAATCAGTTATGAGATATATTACATATTTAGAAGTATGGCTGATATGTGAGAGCTGCAATTTAGTATTGGTGTTTGAACGAGAACTTTGTGTAAGATTGGACAAAGGCTCTAATCATTGGTATCTTAAACCATGTCTTTACTGAAAGCTTTTCAGATTGCTTACCGTACAGCATTGTATTTTTATTTTTGATCATTCTCAATTTTTGTCCTCTCCGTTACCTTGTTAGGGAAGGGAGTAGTTGGTAAACCTGTTTTGCGCATGGAGAAACTGAGTTCTGGAGAGAAAATACATAATTTATCAAAGGTCACCAAGCTTCAAACTGGTAGACTGGGATTTGACCATGGGCTTATTTGTTTGATTTAATAAAAACATATACAGGTATGAGCCAGAAAGTTCACAAAAGTGCCACAGAAACACTGCTGATGTGTTAATGATGTCTCAGAAGCTAGTAATACACACGTTATTTTGGCTTAGATAAATTTACTCTGGAATCTGTGAACTTCTCATTCTGGCTATCAGCTGACTCTGTGTTAACAACTAACTATTTAAGTTAACTGCCTTAAGGCCTGACCTGTTCTTTTTTTTTTTAAAAGATTTTATTTGACACGGAGAGAGCACAAGCAGGGGTGGGCAGCAGGCAGAGAGAGAGGGAGAAGCAGGCTCCCCACTGAGCAGGGAGCCCGATGTGGAGCTCGATCCCAGGACCTTGGGATCATGACCTGAGTGGAAGGCAGACACTCAGGCACCCCAAGGACTGACCTGTTCTTACATCAAATTCTCATTGGACAGAATAGTACACATTTTTTAGATCATATGTCTTAATCTCCAGGATTTGGACACCTTGTCCATTTCTACTTTCTGTGTTTTAGAGAATGCAGATTTATTCTGAGTAGTGGTTCATGATTTCAAGCAGTCACACTTTCATGTTTTCTGGTTTTAAGATCAGATTATTTTTTGTACACAAGTATATAATTTGGGTAAAAATGAAGTATTTTAAATACATGTCTTAAAAAGCTAGAAACTTTTAATTTTTAAAGATCAGTTGATAATTGTTGATTTTAGAAGTAATATTCCCACACAATCTGTTTCTTTCCCTTTTTCTTTTTCCCTGTTCCTTTTAAGAAACATTTCTCAATGATTTTTTTTTTTATTTCAAAACACTGGTAAGATGTGTTTTATAAATTAGTATTGTTTTAGATCTCTCTTAACCCTTTAGCATCTTGTAATTGTTTACAGGCTTTCTTTTTTTTTTTTAAGATTTTATTTATTTATTTGACAGAGAGGGAACATAAGCAGAGGGGAGCGTCAGGCAGTGAGAGAGGGAGAAGCAGTCTCCCCGCCGAGCAGGGAGCTCCACACGGGTCTTGACCCGAGCCGAAGGCAGATGCTTAACTGACTGAGCCACCCAGGTGCCCCTGCAGGCTTTCTCTTTAGCAGTTGTCAGAATGTGTAAGAGAACTATTCTGTCAATATTTCTTAAAGTTTGATTTTCCTTATACTTTCAAGCCGGGTTTAATAAATAAAATGTGTTTAGGGTGCTTCTTTTTTATTTTTTTTTGGGGGGGTGTGATTGCACATTCATTTAGTTCTGTGGAGATGTTCACTTTGTTATACATTTGTTCTTATCAGCAAACCTTTGACACTTGCACAGGTAGTCAGTGGGTACTGGGGACCAGTACTGCTCCCTCCACTCCAGAGGTCACTACGCAGATTCTTTCTACCTTTTTAACTTACGACCTTGGAATCCTATAGTGTGTGCTCTTTCTGTCAGCTTTTCTCCGTGAGATTCTCCATGGCCCGTCTTGTAGCGCTCACTCTGCTGATTTCAATACCGTGTTCCAGACATGCTGCAGTAGTTGTATCTGTTCTACTCTGGGTGGACACTTGGGCTGTTTCTAGTTTGGGCTGAGTGCCCTGGTGAATATTTGTATGTTTCTTTGGGGAATGCCTCTGTACAGTTCTATTGGATGCACACCTGGGATTACTGGCGTGTCAGGGTTGGATGCACACCCAGGATCACACACAGTGTCAGGGTT